AGAAGGCTAGCGGCTAGGAGACAGGATCTGTTCTGCGAGATCTTGTTGTTCATTGAGCACGGCAACCTCATGGCTGCCAAAACGGTAAGACATGCTTGAGAGTCCGCTTGGAGAGACCAGGCTCACGAGTGAAACCGACCATTCAGAGCACCGGCAGTGACTGAGGTTTGCTCGGCATAGGGCTTTGTTGGCATTGCGAAGTTTAAGCATGTAACTTGCAACCATGGACGTATGTTATACTAGTTCTCTCATCTGCTGTACAACAGCAGCAAACACTGCGTATTTGTACCAGCTTTTATTAGATTGACCCGACGGTTTATCAACATGTATGATCATCACACTTCCTTTAGTGCTTGATTGATTGAAACTTCGAGCAGGACCACGGCTTGGAAACTTTATGGTGACCTGCTTGGCAGCGCATCTCTCGTGGCGTTCTGCCGGAACTGGGCTTCTTCTTTTGTTCGCTGTTTCTCACACCTGCGAAACGCAGCACTCGTCCGATCAACCAGGTGCAAGCCCAGTGTTCCTCCTGTTGGGGACGGAGATGGACGAACATTATTCGTCAAGCCGCTCAGCAATGTGGTCCCATTCACATGCTCCGTCCAGCCAAAGGTGCATTGTGCGAACTTGCTTCGTCGAGAAACGCTCGTCCAATACTCCGACAACATGCTCTCTTGGCAGATTTCTGCCGCACCTCCCAAGCCACTTGGCACTTCAGTCTGCAAGGGCCAACATCCTGTCCTCATTCAGTTCGGTCTGTCCGCGACACTTCGGCTTTTGCGTGGGGTGCTTGCGACTCGATTCGCGCCCAAGCGTGTGGACATCATGAGTGTCTTGGGCTGGCGCCTCGGCGTCTTCAGAGGATCCACTGGATCGAGACGAGGCTTAACTCGTGAGGTGCAGGGAGCTGGACAAGTCCGCACAATGATTTCTGGCGCCTATCATCGGTCGAATCCGAGATGCGAATCAATCGTCGGTTCTGCCTGCAACAAGCCTCCTTCTGTTGCAAGGAGAGCTGGCTTGATCGTTGCAGATGTTTTTGGCTTGCTGTATCTCTTCGGAAGGTTGATGCATTGATGTTCTTTGTGAGTTTCGGTTTCAGGGAGTTCGAGGCTTTTTTTTTTTGTGATATGCGTTCATTCA